TCTCTACTCTCTCTCAAACAAACTATATATATATATATATATATATATATATATATATATATATATATATATATATATATATATATATATATATACCAAATCGTATTACTTTTATAAATAAATTATTACGTTAATAATCAAGAGATAGCAGACTTTACTGAAGCAAAAAACTAAAAAAAGAGAAAAAATTCAACCAAGTGCTGTTGCTAATACAAGAAAAGACTTTTCTATCTCTTCATTCGAAGGTCAAGAACAAGCGAAGGTCCTTTAGGTACCAGAAGCTGACGCAGGCATTCAACAGTAGAGTATTATATATTCTTTTAATAGAACCTTCTCGTCTTTTTCTCCGTCTCTGTTCTTTTTCAGGAGGCGTTGGTATTGAACCCCAACCCTCCATCAGAAAGAGCCAAGAAAATGAGTCAATAGCTGCGTTTCCATTGACCATACAGTAGTGCAATTTGACATTTTAAAAATAAATACACAATTTTGAAAAAACATATTAAAAAAGTTTTTGCACTAGGATGATGTGTTTTTTTTCAACTATATAAAATTGTTTTATTTCGCAAAACTGTAATAGAAACGTATTTTTGAATCACACAAGTCACGTGATCAACACCGGATGTTACTACTGGCAAAAACCATGAAGAAGATGAAGACAGGAAGTAGATGGAGGATGATGAGGCAGCATATTTTTAATGACTTATTGTGTGAATAAACTTATTTACATGTGATTTTAATTGCATTTCTTACTTATGCAAAATTGTGTTGTTTTTTTTACATCAGTGGAATACTGAAAGTTTTGCCCACACTATAATAGACATTGACATAAAACTGTACAAATTGGAGTTACAAAAATAAATGTGCTTAATGGAAACAAGATAACTTAAAAAAAAAACATTTTTATTAACTGCAATGGAAACAATTTTTCCACACCACGAGTCACATGATCAACATTCAGGTGTTACTACTGGCAGAAACCCCAAATAAAACGACAGGAAGTGAAAGGAGGGTGATGGTGCAGCATGCTTTTTGTGCTTTTTGATGACTTATGGTGTGAACAAATTTATTCAGGTGTGATTTTAATTGTGTTTTGTAGAAGCACAGCAATTATTTTACATTTGCAAAATATTGACACAGATATTCCATTTGTAATGGAAACGCAGCGATCGACTCCAAAACACGACTTCTGCAAAACGAAAAGGAAGGAGTAGAGGGGAAGAAAAAGAAGAGGACGCCAGATATAAAAACAAAAACAAGTTTAATATGAAATAGAACAAGAAAAGCTAAGAGACTCACAATTTCAGAAATTAATTGCATGCTATAAAATTACAGCAAATTTGCTCTTGAGAAACTTAAGTTTTAAAGGTTAATTATTATAAGGGGAAAAAAGCAAAAGCGCTAGAGTTTAAAGTATTAATCTTTTCATGTGTGGTTTTATTATAAATTATTTTTTATTACTATTATTTAGCACATTTTATCTCATTACATTTGTCAGACAAGCCAAACAATTTACATTGAACAAAATGGCTTTTTTAAAACAGTTTGGTTGGTTTCTTTATAAATATATAAATAAACGTATGTATGTATTTTTGTTTTATTTTTAAAACTCACACAGCCTTAGTCATTTCTTTGTTTCTGTTCATTTTTAATGTGCTGTTCAAATTGAAAATGAAATCTTTAAAAGGTGCCAAAAACCGAATGATCCTATACTTGGATGCATCA